CTTTTCCAGGAAAGCGTCCATGTCGGCTTTCTGTTTATCAAATTTGGGCAGCTTGAGTTGACTGGCCTTGACCCCATTCTGTTGGGTGAGCTTGGCGATCTCAGTTTGTGCTCTTATTCTCTCTATTTCCAGTCATTCCTCTCTCTCTCTTTTTGGGCTTGTGTTTCATGCTTATGTTCTTCTTTCAGTCATTCTCCTTCTTCTTTTCACTGCCTTTCCTCCTCTCCTAACAAACTCTTGTAGATCACCATCTTTGAGCACTCACCTCTCTCTACACACTTATCAAAGTCAGTCAACATGGTTGTTTAGTGTGGTTGTTACCAGTGTTAAATCTAGATCTGTACTTTAATTAAAATACTTGACTCCACAAATTTACAGTGATATATTTTATTTTTATTGGTTATGATATTTAAACGTAATTTTTACAGATTTGCAAAAATGAAAAAAATTACTGCAAATACGTTCAGACAGTTCATCGTAGCACTCTTAGAGAAAACCAATGTGTCTTGGTTTTTTTCTATGTATATAAGTCGATAACCCTTGAAATCAAGGTGTCCACCATCAGGCATTCAGTTATTTTTTAAGATTGTTTTAATCAATATTTGTTTTCCTCAAGTAATGCACAACATTTTTACCTTGATCTTCTTGAAATGTACTTGAAGGAGCACAAGTTAGCTCACATGACATCAACATCCAGCCCATCAAAAAAGTTGCATCCTTTCTTCACATCGTCATATGTCAAACTGCACATTGACTGGACTGTTTGGAAGGAAGCACATTCATTGGTGAGGGAGATTGCATAATCATTGAATTGGTGTTCCATTTGCCACAAACAAAGGAACTGACGACAGGTTTAGGTTTTTTTTTAATATACTTTGCTGAGATTAGGTTGATGAAAGCATGTTACATGAGGTTCAATGTTCATTCAAAGAACCTGAACTAAAAATTCTGTAATCACTCAAAGTGTGCTGGTTCAGTAATTACAAATTTGTTCATGTCATCTTAACTTGTTACCGCTCAATTATAATGGTCTGTGAGCACCTACACAAAGAAGGTGCAAATTTAGTATCATTCGCAGGAGATATCTTGTTGGAAATGGAGAAATATAGTTTTCTTGTTACTCTAGCAGTTTTGGATGAGGCTTTTTGTGCAGTCCCACATGCTACAGAGTATGAACATTTGATTTCTCATCTTATGCTACAAGACAACTCTCTGAAGCAATGGATGGAAAATCAGAGTGACTGTTCGACATATATAAGCAAAGCTATAGCTTGCGATCTGTTGACTTGCATTGCCAAAGTTCTAGATGACTGTGATACCTTGGAACTGAGTAACAAATATTACTCTATAATGGCTGACAAATGATCAGATATCAAAAATGTGAGCCAGTTGTCAATTTTGATTCGCTATATGACTGGCTTCAGTGAAGTAAAAGAAACATTGTTGAGCATTACTGATCTAGCAAGCACTGATTCCGAAACCATTATGTGTTCACTTTACAGAGAGCTGATGAAAATGAACCTGGATTACAAGAACATAATTTCTTGCATCTTTGATTGTGCCGCCAACTTTTCGGGAAAAATAAGTGGTGTGCATAAGCAACTTTCAGAGAAAGCTAGAGGGCATATTCCTTATGTACATTGTAGGGCATATCTTTTATCTTTAGCCTCAACCAGCACTAGAAATAAAACTGTGTCTGTGAAAAGGGTCTTTATGTCAACAAAGTCATATATTCACTATTTCACGAGTCATGGAGTTAAGCAACCGAGTCTTGGAACTACTTTGTTTCGTCAACCCCTGCTGCTGCAACTTCCTCACCCTCCTCATTGACTTTGGTTAAATACCAGAAGAAATGGGAAAGAAATATGAATGGCTGTTTTTTGATGAAGCCCTTAGAGGAGCACTTCATAACTACTGCCAAAAATGTTTTAGATGCACTGCATAGAACAGGTGGTGTTTTCATAAAAACTATGTTTCTCAAATTTCAAAAAGCAACTGGGAATACCAGGAAGCTCGACAAACATTCTAAGTTCAAGAAACATGCTCAAACAATGCATAAACTTCAGGAAGAGAATCTTAAAAGACCAGTTCCTACTTTACTTGTTCAACAGTTGATTCAGGAATATAGTTGCATGAAGAAAGCAATGGCTGCATTTGTGAGAAGCAAAAGAAGAAATTCCACGTCGAGGGGCCTGCAGTGATCACGTGTGTGAGGTGCATGTGAAGGCTGGAGGACAAAGTTGTAAAAACAATCTAAAAACCCATACAAGGATGCCAAAGTTTTTTGCAGAGGTCTTACCCTCAAGCATCTCTTTACTATCATGTGGAATTACAGCAAAATTTTGTGCAAAAGGAAATTCCTGTACTTGTAGAACAGTAATAATGATAAAAGCCTAGAGAACAAGCTTTCCAGGAAGTTTGTTGTTTGCTGTTAAGCTCAAAGCTACACAATGGGCTATTAGTGCTCTGTCCATTGTGGATATTAAAACCTTATTTTTAGCTATAAACCCTCTGACCCACTGTTTAGCCAACGAGAAGAGGAGGCAAGGATTGCACTGAACATAGCCTGTGGTCTCTATAGGCAATCAGCTTCTAAAGTATGATATATGAAATTTAATTATCTACATAGCAAGAACACTTTCATAAACACTTCATTCTGGCATTTTGACAAGGTTACAGCTGTCATGGGAATTTCAGTAATTTTGGATAATGTTGGTATCCAACTTTGTACAAATGAAGATAAAGTCGAGACCTTCATGTGTAGATATATTTCCTGATGTGACATGCAAAAGGGAGTCAATCTAGAGCAATCCCTATCTGAAATACAACTATATGTGGATATGGAAGCCATATATATTTTGAACAAGCTACACAGAGCCATGAATGCATTTAAAGATGGAGCTCCAGGTCTAGTGGTGTAAGAATCTCCATGACTAAAATACTCACAGAAGCCAACGTTTTGAAGTTGGTCTCAAAGTGTCAATATAACTGGGCAACAGGTAGCACCCCTAAAATATGGAATGTTGCTTTTTTAACATCCTTACTCAAAGCATGAAAGTTGTAACTCTCCTTTCAGATGATCAAACTACCAAACAAAAGTAACCTTTGACCTAATAAAGAAAGCTTTTCTTTTTCTGAAGGTGTCACAACTTGAAGAAGTACAACCCCATTTACCAAAAATACTGGATTTGTCTCTAGTGTAGCTTAGAAAAGCTAAAGATGAGTAACCAACAGAACAGTATATCACCAGAAGGCCACAATGGTAATATAAGTAATGGAACCCTCTTCTGTCTTTTGTGAGACGACCAGTTTCCATATGAGGGGTCAGCACCTGTCAATGTAACCCTTGGAATTGTCACCTTGTGCTCATCTCAATAAAATGGAGAAGCATGATGTATAATTTGTGTGTTGCAGGGGAATAGAACGATAGTGGTTCATAACAGGGATCGCAAGGAATTGCACAAAACCATAATAGAACGTTTGGGCAAAAAGCACCTTAAACAGTAAAGATTCAGTTCAAACAATACTTTAAGACCTTTACTATTGACTGCTAAGACTGTACGCATATAAAAATGCACAAAAATGTATGCATGTTAGACTTACAAGGAAAAGAAAATCCACTTAAAAAGATCTATTTGCAAATTTTCTTCTTTTTCTCTTGCCAGCCTACAACAAAAACTGCTTGATATATTGTACTCAAACTTTTTGTAGAATAATAAATAAGGTACTGTGATGGTCGTATGGGTATTCAAAAGTCGATTTGTTTCTTCTATATTTTGTATAAGCTAAAAAACATAATTCTAGTGTAAAGAATGTTATCATTACTCTTTGAAGTTAACTTTCTTCCAAATATCTGGTGCAACTTTAAAATTACTAGCCAATAATAGACGACTGTAACATGTAGAAACTCAATGCTTTGTACACTATACAAGCAATGTCTTTAGGGAGCTAACCCCTATATTATGTACGAAGTGAAGGAGTAAAAAAATCAATACACCTAATTTAACACTAAATTTTATTACACACATTCGTAGAATAATTACTTTTACAAGATACGAAGGTTTATTTAAAACTATGTTTTAGACGTATGTTTTATTTAAAAAAGCTGCTTTTCTACTAGTAAAACTTTATACTCAGTGGGGGTTGTGTCTTAATCTATTTGTCCATTGCTTTGCATTATATAAAGACAATTTAGTTACACAGAAACTATAAATGCTCAATACATTCTAAAACAAATCTCCAGTTGCAGCTTAACATTTTACGTATCAAACTAATGTGATCAAATAGTCAATAGCTACAGTAAATCATCATGAACTGTATCAGCTAGCTACTAGCTATGTTTATCATCATTGCAATGTATAAAATTAGCTACCATATCAAGTAATCCTTTGCCCATAGTTGAGCATAAACAAAGCAAGCAAACAAGATAAATAAAAAATTAGAAATTTAAAAACCTGCAAACAGGGATTGTAAAAAAAGCAAGTAAGCAAGGCTAGAAATACTGTAGAAATTATTTACTCACACTACAAATCCCTATCAATTGTAACTCTAGGTAACAGCATGGAGCCAAAATAGGTATTTGTAGTTCAAGTAAGTAAGGTCTACAATATCTCCAGCCTTGTTTTCTTACTTTTTTACAATCCCTAGTTGCAGGTTTTTAAATTCCAAGTTTTTTATTTATCTTATTTGATTAAAGACCATGTACCTTTTTACATATAGTATATACAGCACATGTTTATAATTAAAAATGTGAAACTTTCAGATTTGGAAAATGTCAAATTTTAAGTACAAATGTGTACTTATAACATACAAGTTGTATGTTAAAGTATTAAAAGTTACATATCTAAAATATAAGTTAGATCTATACATGTCTTTACATATGTAAAGCCAAAATCTTAACTTGAAATCTAAAGAAGTGAAACATATGATATTAAAACAAAATATATTTCCTGTAAATTTAACATATGAAGGACCTGTGTGTGTATTAAATTTAACAAATGGTGAGCTGTTTCAAGATCATTACATACACATGTGTGTATGTGTATGCCATAGATAGGTATATATTAATTAACTAATATACACAAATCTATAGTGTGCATTCAAGTATTTTCATATCACCATTGTGATTTTAATAGAAATCCTGCAATTCAAGCTGAAGCATCTATATTTGTTAAAGGGCATTTTTGTGTTATATAACTATAATTTGTATCCATGATAAAAGGTTGTATTGTCCACTGTCTCTGCATGTATTGATTTTAAGTATTTTACAGGAACAAAAGTTACACAAGTTTCATGACCAATGCATACATTTTTTTTATTGCATTTTAATTTTACTTCAAAATTATGGATGGCCTGAAGGCAATAATATGTGCACATAAAAGCATATTTAGTATTTCCCACCTCCTTTATTTAGTACAGTGAACATAAATTGTTTACTAAAAATTTAAAAAATGTTTTTTGCACATACACATCTGTTTAGTTTTAACAATAGAACAATGGTCAACATATGTAGCTAAATTCCAAGCATGGCTCAAATACTTTCTATTGGTAATTTCCTTTTCAAATACTAGTGTTGACAGACCCTGATGACAAATCTCCCTGATAAATGGCCATTCACTGTCATGCCAGTCTGAAAGTCAGAAAAATTCCTGCTGCTACTTAATGACTTTCAGACTAATAATATAATCACACCTACAGGGCTCTAGCAGTCACCACACAGAATATAACCAGTGTAATTAATATATACATACATACAGAACATTTACATATCACATTCAGGTACTACATATACCTGAATAATCTTTTCATATCACGATTATTACCAGTTTAAATTGCGATGAAGATGACAAACAACTTCAGGTAAAAGCTTTTTTATTCTTCCCGACATTTCGGCTTATGCCTTTTTCAAGAATCTAAGAACATCACAGGTTTCAAAACTGATTTTAAATTTAAAGACTTTAAGACCTATGCAAATCCTGCCCAAGAAGTGAACAAGTTACAAAGAGAATAAGAATCAACCACATATTAAAGTAGGCAGACAAGAGTCAAGAACTCACACTTCTTAAAGGAAGTATTTAGTCAAGTGTAAACAACGTATTTGTTTAGTCTTTTCATGGATTTCTAACAATAACTCCATCATACAAGTAACTAATAACAATACACATTTTATGTATATTTTCATACAAGACTTTGTGCTATTGGTAGTAAGTGAAAAGGTTTGAGGAAAAACAAATCCATAAGGACAAAGATTACCCCATTCCACTACTTTATGAAACCAGTTTTAGGCCAATAAACAATAAAATCCATTGACTTTCATCACATATAAGTAAACTTAATGGCTGATGTAGTATGTTAATACTGTTGTTGAGTTTTAATATCATATAGTGTTATTGCTTAGGTTTTCAATTATATTAAATTATTTGCCAGATACTCTTCAATCTAATGTTTAATTTTGACCATAAGTGATATAATGCAGTTTGTTCTTCTTAATATTGCCTAAGACATCTACAAAAATTGGGTAACAATGTCTTTCTAATAAACTTAACAGCTCTATGATTTACCTCAACTGTGAATAATATGATGCTTGTTAGAGACTACATCTAGTTACTTCTCTCTTAAAAGCACACTGCAACTGAACTACTTCTCCCAGTGTTTAACAACTCATCTTTTGAGGCCACCATGTCATTCAAATTCTTAGACATACTACCAAATGGATGGTTTTTTTCACTGTGGATATTTGGTATGTTTTAAATTAATAACTTCCTATAAATATTTTGACACAGAACATATAATTGTGATATTTGACATATTTTTAATTAATAGCTTCTTACAAATTTTTTGCTATACACACACTATATAAATGCGATATTATCCCACATTTTTAAGTAATAACTTCTTTCACAAATTCTCATACACACTATACAACTGTATCATTATGCTGCAGTGTGTGTAACCTCTGATATTCTACATCATAAGAATGAATATTTTAATGTCATGTCTCAGCAGAATGAATCTTTTGGTGCCTTTATAAATGAATAATTCCATGCTGAACACTACAATCCATATGGTTTTTTCTTTCCAGTGTGTATCCTCTGGTGTATTTTTAAGTGGCTCTTAGTTCTAAACTTTTTGTTGCAGAGAATACAGGTATGTTGTTTTTCACCAGTGTGATTCTCTGATGTCTTTTTAAGTGACTACTTCTTCCAAATTCCTTGCCACACACTTCACAGCTGTAGGGTTTCTCTCCAGTGTGTATCCGATAGTGTACTTTTAAGTCACTTTTTCTGACAAATTCTTTCTCACACACCAAACAGCTGTGGGGTTTCTCCCCAGTGTGTACCCTATTATGTGTTTTTAGGTCAATAGTACTTGCAAATTCTTTTCCACATAATACACAACTGTACGGGTTTTCCCCAATGTGTAGTCTCTGGTGTATTTTTAAGTGGTTCATATTTCTAAATTTTTTGTCACAGACTATGCAATTATGTTGTTTTTCATCACTATGAATCCTCTGATGTCTCTTTAAGTGGTCCATAGTTCTAAATTTTTTGTCACAGACTATGCAATTATATTGTTTTTCACCACTATGAATTTTCTGATGTCTTTTTAAGTGACTACTTCTTCCAAATTTCTTGCTACATACATCACAGCTGTAGGGTTTCTCTCCAGTGTGTATTCGTTGATGTACTTTTAAGTCACTTTTTTTTGCAAATTCTTTCTTACACACTAAACAGCTGTGAGGTTTCTCCCCAGTGTGTATACTATTATGTTTCTTTAGGTCATTATTACTTACAAAATCTTTTCCACACACTACACAGCTATATGGTTCTTCGCCAGTGTGTAGTTTCAGGTGTAATTTTAAATAACTTATTTTTTCAAATTCTTTGCCACATGTTTTACAATTATGAACCTTTTGACAAGTGTGAGTTTTTTTATGTCTGTTCAGGTGACTACTTCTTCCAAATTCCTTGCCACACTCTTCACACCTATATGGTTTTTCTCCAGTGTGTATCCGCTGATGTATTTTTAGGTCACTTTTTCTTCTAAATTTTTTCTCACACACTACGCAGCTGTATGATTTCTCCCCATTGTGTATTCTCATGTGTGTTTTTAGATTAATATTTGTTCCAAATTCTTTTCCACACACTACACAGATATAAGGTTTCTCCTCAGTGTGTATGTTATTATGTTTATTTAGGTCACTATTACTTCCAAATGCTTTGTCACATGCTACACAGCTGTATGGTTTTTCATCAGTATCAATGTTTTTATGTCTGTTCAGGTGACTGGTACTTCCAGATTCTCTACCACATACTACATATCTATATGTTTTCTCTATAGTATGTATAGACTGGTGTATATTTAGTTCACTTTTTGTTCCAAATTCTTTTTCACACATTACACAACTGTATGGTGCATCTCCAATGTAGGGAATCTGACATCTTTTTACATTATTTTCCCTAGAAAATGTTTTATCAAAACCATTTTCACAGCTTGGTGACTGAGAATAGATGTTTGTGTTGGAAATTTCTTGTATGAAAAAATTATAATTATGAAATTGCCTTCTACAATGGCTGTTGATACAGAGCTTTGAACCTGCAATTAGAAGATACAGACATGTAATTTGTATATACATTATGTGCAAGTTACGTAAACTCCTAAATACATTCTGTAATTCTCTTATAAAAAAATCACACAATAAACATTAATATTAATCTTAAAAATGTATATACAGTTCCACCGTATATTGATCATAATGACAATTATTATAAAAACAGACTCAGATATGTTTCACTGATTTATATAATCATATAGACACAAATATACCACTTATACTGATATATTTACTTGAATGTTAAGTACCCACAGGAAATTGAATTGTAACTGCACAAAAGGAATGAGTCTAATTTTGATTATCTAAAATGATTTAACACCTTATTCTCTGTTATGTCACCTTGCTTGATTAATGAGCATAACCAAATATCCTTATTAGGGCATACAGAACTAAGAAAAGTTATATAAAAGTATCAAAAGTGTTAGTTTTCCTTCTAGACTTTCAAAGATTTAGAAATGTCAAACAATATAACTTCTATTATACTTAAGATAATAACTGTACTGTTTGCTCAATATAGTTACCTGTCTAATTTCTAACAGCTAATATTCACTTGCATCAGTGGAAGAAAATGGATTTTTCCTAGCTCTGAACTATTTCATATCTATATCAAGATTCATGAGATTTAGACTCTGAATTGATGCATTAAACTTCCACCAAAATACCATGGTGCATCAATACACTAATTAATTGTTACAGATGTAAAAATTGTAATCACTGAATGATTTCTGTGGGCTTTTTTTATACAAAAAACATTATTGAATGTCAAAGTATAATGAAACAGACACACTTAGTGGGTTTTGATGTACCATTACTCTCCACTCAAGTAACAGAGAATGAAGCCCTAAATACAGTGATACAGAAAATATATGATGCCAAAAACAATGCAGTAAAATGTACTACTATCACTTGACCCATTAAACATGTTGTTTAGTTTTTACTTGGATTTGAGTATATTTTGACATGACACACAGTACACCACTGGATTTGCCTCTGTCCTACATGACTTGCCTGTGATAACATACAGTTTGAAATGTGAATGAAGAAAACATTGTACTGGGGCACAGGATGTTTATTACAAAAACATAAGAAAGAAAGAAGTCAGTTGCTGATTCTCATGTAGAGATTACATGTGTCAGTTTTGTCATTGATATTTTAATACAAATGAGCTCTGAAAAGATCATATTTTTAGAACAGTAAATAGGGTAGAATATACACAATAGATTTGGAAACAAATAATACAGTTTATAACCATTTATTCTAAGAGGTTCCATACAGCATTAAAAACTTCAAAATTAAATTCAGGATAAGTGAAGAAATGAAAACAGATTCCAGGAGACTGTTTAAAGTGTAAAGTGAATGGCATTCATAAATGGCAGGTACAGGAAAGAAATCACATTATAAACAACTGTTTACAGTGTAAATTGAATGATATCAGGAAATGCTGGGTGTAAGAAAGAAAGCACTCTCTAGACAATTCTTTACAATTTAATGTGAATTCCATCACAAACTGTCAAGTGGAAAAATGAAAATATGTTCTAGATGAATGTTTAAAGTATAAAGTGAATGGTATCAAGAAGTGTCATGTGGACGACAGACAATGCATCATAGATGACCATTTACTTTAGGAAGTACAAGTCATCAGAAAATTACAGGTGGAAGAAAGAAACATTCTAAATAACTGTTTACTATTTAAATTGCAGGGTTTCCATATTAAGTATGTGGCACAACTGTTGAATTGAAGAAGGGTGCACCTGAAGCTGAGATTCATACTAAATTCATTCTTTATCCCTTCCCACATCTTGTGCTTGGTAAAAAATTAATTATATATAGGAAAGCTAAGAAATCTTATTAAGTAAAGATGTCATTCAGGAAACTGGTGATTGATTGATATTTCAATAGATCTCTATGAATGAAGCTCGACACAACTTCTGAAACAAAAATAAAGTAACTATTAAGGAAAATATGACATGATGAAATCTATATGGACTATACTACTATGGTGATATAATACTAGACATTGTGCCATCCTTCTTATATTTATTCTTCATTGCAGAAATGGCATTTTAAATTTGAGAATCACTAGGGATATCATCTTGTAATGCATCATGTATCTGCTTCAACTTCAATGCTGCATCTTTGGGTTTTACTGTGCCGTTAGTTTCACAACATACTGAAACTAATAATATATATATATTTGATTTCAATTCCCCATTGTGAAGATGACAATACTATTGTGCCTGTTTTTTGTTTTTTTATGTTTCACTGTCAATGCAGTAATCAATTGAAGATTCCATGATTCAACTTGTATGTCCAATTGATTGGGATATCTTCAAACAGGTTCTTCTCTCATCCAACCTGAATCACTACAACCATCACATTCACAACCACATCTAGAACATTTCAAGCATGTTTCATTGCTACATCATTTTACTTTAAGTTAAATTCTCCATGTTGGCTCTTGTGGTCTCAGGTTCAGTCAATGGTCTGTTCCAGCAGCCTAGACTTCAAACATTTAATCAAAACAGCCCAAACCTTTTTAGAATGACTCATGTTTTTGGTTCCACATCAAAATACCAGGCTAACTTGTGTGGCAGGTGTTAAAATTGACAATACATTGGGTGGGAATTAATCTATAATCATCTACCAAATGACTAATAATCCATAGTGGCAATTAAACTAGAAAAAAATATTACAAAAAGAGTACGAAGTAACTGACTATGAATTACACTGCTCCTACAACTTAATGTTATCACAACTTATTGATACACTTCTCCCACTTTAGGGGGTCTTAAACAGATATATTTTTCGTTTACCTTTAATCTTAAAATTCACATCTAATATTTCTATAACCAATGTAATCCATCAATCAGGTATAGTTTTCCCTTAAGATATAGTTGGCAGCATTTACAAAAAAATCTAAATAAGAATATCAAAAAACATGGATCTATATAACTTACAGTCAATTCTGTATCATGCAGTTAGTGTTCTCTAAATGCTAAATTACTAAGAGTTAATTTGATTTAAAAAACCTCTATTTTCAATCAGTGTTCGTGAATCAAGTTTTTTGAAGAAATAACTGTATTTACCAAATATATCTTCTAATTCATGGTCAAATTGATGTAATTCTTCATGGAATTCATTTTCTTTTTTCACACTAAAAACTTCATTTTTTGAACTATCTGGAACATCAACATCAGTCTCACTGAACCCTAAAAGAGCTTCATCATCTTGTAAGTCACCAGGTGGCTCAGGCTTCACTTTTAATAAAGGGTTCTGAAATATAGTGATCACATTTTATAGATCATTAGCAAACAACAATAAAAACTGTAACTAAATAAACCAAACATACATGTTTCCCCAATTAGTAAGAACGAATTGTAACATTATTTGAACAAACTTTCTGTATTACATACCAACAAAATGCTTATTTTCATAAGTGCTTCATTTTCAGTAATAATCATTTCACAAAACTTATATTTTCATAAGTACTTCACTTTCGGTAACAAGCCATTTCATGACAAATGAAAAATAACATCATACTTCATTTTCACAGCATCAAGTATTCATTTCAAGGCCTACTTACTACAAAATGAGGAAAGGATCTTCAGAAATGTTTTTACACCAGTGCATATTTATAGTAATTTTTAAACACAAAGTTGCAAATTGATATTTACCTCTACAATAACTTAAGCTATGTCTCTTGTTTATGCTGAGAATTACACTTTTTCCTACTACTCTTAACTTCTTCCTTTTTAATAAACCACCTGTCATCTGCAAACTATAATATTATGCAAATTTCATTCTATGTTACATCAATGTGCATATCAGTGTTTTTCAACCAGTGGGTCAGGACCTTCTCGTGGGCAATGAAAAGGCTTAAGATTAGATGACTACATAACACCTCACAAAATGTTAACTATAGATTAATGAAAATTTTAATAAAATGCTGTAATATCAGTTGATCTACTGTGAAAGCAGAAGGATTGGCAACACTGCCTGCAATGCACACCACAGTATGTATCATGTGTGACCCATTGTCATGCTCATTAACCCAGCATAGCAACTATGAAATAATATTGCCAAAAATATCATACTTGTACAATTTACTGTGAGTAGGCTGCAGGAAATTTTTGACGTTTAGGTGGGCCATGTTACCAAAAAAGGTTGAGAAATGCTGGTGTATATTATCATGCAGCTCACATCTGTTGACAGAATCTTTGTCATGTTGTACTACTTCTACTTAACATTATCTTTGAATTTTCATAACATAATATGGTTCGTTTTCTCCTAATCTACTGGAGTGGGGAGAAGAGTAGAATAGTTATAGTAAAGATAAATATCAATTTGAAATACAATTTACTACTAAAAGGATATTAAGTTTCAAATCTACTTCTACTATAACCTGTAGCTTGAATCCCTGTTAGATATACATAACTGTTTCAGTTTAAAGTTAGCATTATGATTCAGATAGTTTGTAGAGTGTGGGTGTCATATTTAGTTATTTTTAGAAGCGACAGTTTATGGTAAGTTTATTTACGTAACTGTTTACAGATAATAGATTGTGTAATGAATTAGCGATTGTTTACAATGGTGAGTTTATTGCATCTTGTTGCTAGAACTTTCTGATTTTTTATTGTAGGTTCTTATTGCAGAAGAATGTCTAGTATTGCATGGAATGTTCTAAACTTCTGTCAGGGTATAAATATGCATAGAAAAATCATTATTTAGTTCTAATTCTAGATTGTGTAATTGTGAATTTAGCAATAAAGAGTGTATAGTGGCAATTTTTAAAGTGAACGCATCACAGACTGTATTGTAATAACAGAGCAGAGAATAATAATTCATCTCATCAATTGTGTTCTAAAGTAACTGAGCCAGCCTGTGTGGACATTGACAAAAAAAGAGACAATTATTTAAACTCTGGATACAACTGTGATAACCATCAGTGTAATGAACATTTGTATATACATTTTATTTGCTTTTAAAATATCATTTCAAAAGAAGCGGACTGTGTTACTTTTTGTTTATAGTAGAAATTTCTTGCCAAAATGTCACAGACATCTACTGTAGTAAATGGCAGTAGAAGAAGATGTATACACAGCTGTAGTGGTGGCAAAAATATTGTAGAGGTCACAACCAGTTCTGAATTCAAAGGGTATACAGGGGAGAATTCCCCCTGTTCACAAAATCCACCTCAAAATATTTTAACTATTTTCTCTTTTTTTACAGGTGTTATTTTTTTCTTTCTTTTTTTTCACAGAAAGACATTAACAATTGAATGAAAGTCATCACACATGAGTTAGGAATTACTATTATTTCATTGAACTAGATCCAACAGTTATACAAATGGAATAATGCAAAATTCTGGTGACTTCTCAAAGAAAAGCATGTCTGACTTTGACAGCTAGCTAATGTGTATCGTGAGAAGGAGGGGCATGCATCAAAGAATCCAGAATTACAGTTAGATTGTATAAGCTAAACATAAAGTTATTAATGAACATTCTTCAAACTTCTCAAAGTGTGTAGACTATTAGATGTGTAGACATTTCTAGAAAAGAGGTTCATGCTTTATAAGCCTGTGTAAAAAGTATTTGTATAGTATTTTTGATATTATTCTGTTGTTTTGTGCATTATTTAAGATTGTGATTAAACTTTGTGATTTGAACTTCTCTGTGGTGAAGTATGTCACAGAAATCAATTCTAAAGTTTGTTACAAATATACCTAGACTCCATGGAAGTGAGTAGTGGTGCTGATGCTGAGTCTCTGGCTCAAATTTTCCTGTACGTGGTGAGGGGACCTCCCAGGGAAGGTTCTGTATTTTCAGTTACTTTCTCTGGGATCTAAACATCTACCCACGTGTTTGGCGTGCATGGCGACCCGTGAAGGGGAGGAGAGGATCCTGGTGGTTGAGTGGTGTCTGGGGCACTGCAATACACCACTTTGGCCTTGAACTCCTGTAGATAGGTGGCCTTGGGGTGGACCCCCAGGGTCATTGGTCCCATTGGGCTAGGGTCAACTGAGTAACAGTGCTGGGTGTTGTGGACATCGAATCTGATGTTGGTGTTTGGGTATAGTGCTCACAAAACCCTGGCATTGTTGCAGTTTCCTTGTTTGACATTGTAGTGCATCCCCTCATAGGAGATGGTTGGTGGGGTCAGTGGGCTCTGAATCTCTCTCTTTTTATTATGGATCCCCAAATAAAAAATATCAAAAACTCTGCTCATCAGTAAACGGCCATGCCTTGAAGACTCTGAACAGCAGTCTCTGATACAATGTGCACTGGTACCTCACTTCCTGATCCTTCATTCCCTGTCTGATAAATCTTTAGGGCAAATATCTCACTTTTTTATACAGAAGGGATTAGAGGGGCTCTGGCTCTTCAAAGTCAATTAAGAAGCTCTGTTCTGGAGACATCTTGGTGGAAACACCCACAGCTAAGCACAGTGAACTCCTCTTGAATTCAAAGGCCATTGGTGATATCCCAATTCAGGTTACTTTCCATGCTTCTTTGAATTCCTAACGAGGAGTTATTGTCAAGAGGGACTTGAAGACTATCCCCGAGTCACATATCCTCGCTGGTTTCTCCAGCCAAGGAATTTCAGCTGTTTGAAGGACCTCTACTCATCAAGATGGTTTTATGATGCCGACCTCTGTTCTCATTTTGACATTTTCATCACCACTTACACGTGTCACTGTTAATGCGAATTATTTGAATTGTAAGGTACAATTATATATTCCCAACCCTCTCCAATGTTTTATTGTCAGTGGTTTGGTCATTTGAAGACGTCTTGTCATGGTTCTGTGATATGTGATCATTGTGGTGGCAAGGAACACGATGCTTACGAGTGCAAACTGGTCCTTTACTGTGTTAATTGTAGTATTTCCACCCTCTTACTTTATTTCTTGCCCTAAGTAGGTGGAGGAGAAAGAGGTACATCATTTGAAGACTGTTAACAACATTTCTTACCCCGAGGCTCGGAAGCTATTGTTCTCTACTCCATCTCGGAAATATGCCACTGCACTATGCTCCACTGCTACAGTGAGAGTGCAGATGGACCTTTCTGTGCCTCTGTTTGAGTCTTTTTCACATCATGTGAGGGGTCTTCTGCCCTCCATGGATAACAGAGTTGGCCAGTCTATGTCTACTCCAATCTCTGACCCACCATACCTTCCAGGTACTGCCCTGGTCCATCTACTCGGGCACTGGCCTCTAGTGTCTGGTAGGGTCCTCTTTTGGTCCCAAGATGCATAACGATCATAATGACAGAGTTCTGCCCACTCGACCAAGGGCAGGAGCCATGGAGGTCGATTGACTTTCTTCTAGTAAAGAAAAATGGTGTGGTCATAAACCAAAGGGTTCTACACCCTTTTCTCTTCCACCTACATAAAAATGGTTATTTTGATACATTGGAACTGTTAATGTTTTTGTTTTATTCTGAATGACATTAAGGCTTTGATCGATTCCTATCATCCTGTGTGTCTCTCCTTAGATGAAACATTTCTAAAACCTGCTGATAGTCACCTTTAGGCAGATTTCTTTGTACCGAAATGACAGGTTGTGTGGTGGACGAGTGCATGGAGGGGTGGCACTGCTGGTCGACCAAAATGTGCCTTTCTTAACTGTGTCCCTCGATACACTCTTGGAGGCTAGAGCCATCCATGTTTCCTTGGGTCATACCATCACTGTTTGTTCTCTCTACCTGTCTCCTGGAGAGACTTGTGACAATTGGACATTAATTCTCTCTTTGACCAGTTGCCATCTCCCTTTTTAATCTTGAGAGACTTTAATGGACACAACCCCCTCTGGAGTGGTGCTGATATTGTTTGGGGGGGGGGGTCGTTCCATACAGTGTATGCTCTCGGATCCCAACCTTTCTCTCTTCGATACTGAATATTATACTTATTTTCATGCACCTAGTCAATTTTTCACTGCCATTGATCTCTCGATCTGCTTTCCTTCACTTTCTCCCACTTTTCTTGGATGGTCAACAGGGCAGTCATAATTTGCCTATCATTTTAAGTGAGGTTGGTCGATGCCACCCCGACACGAGTGCCATGGTGGAAGTTGGACCAGGATGACTGGCTCTCTTTCACCTCTCTCTCTTCGAAATTGATCCTGCCATTGTCTGTCTGCCATCAGTAGATGGCTGTGTAGTAGTAGTGACTGACTGTATCATCCAAACAGCTGTTCACTTTATTCCTAAGTCCTCAACACGTTTTCCACAGTATTCTCATCTATGGTGGAGTCCTGCTTGACAGGAGGCACAGAAGGCTGAAAACGGATCTGGGA